CATACAGTGGACTCAGGACAAGGTGCTTTCCTATTAGTCTTCCTACCAATATGACCAAGTTGCGAAAACAGGGTCAAACAATTTCCATAATGCATTATATTGGAAAAACAAAATCTACATAAGAAGTAATAAAGTGAGTTTAGACCCGGTAATAATTTAATAGAATATAATTAATCTAGGTGATGGTCCCCACCATGCAAACCTAATCTTTACTGGATCGACAGGACAAAAGAAATTTTCTCACTAAACACGAATAGGCGTCCTATTTATGCATGTTAAAGAAGCTTACTTTTAATTTTGCATCATTCACCTTTACGCTTGCTCTATGGCTTCAGAGCACAGTCTTCTATTGCAATCGCAATTTGCTATAATCCACTTTACCACATGGGCACAGGCATTCGGACATAAGCAAGCCTGATTTATTGATTGTGTGGTTTCATTGTACAAGGAGGGTTTTCATTAAGTCACGAGTCACTCTAACGACTGATCTGAGAGCATGCAACTGCAGACTTCCAACTACCCTCGCTATGCTCGTGGAGGTTGTTGTAATAGAACTTTTATCTACGATCACAAGGACAGTAGAGTGCACAATGTTTTGTCCTACAAATATCTTTGCTCCTCCTGATTTCCATACCATTCCATTGTCTATTTATTTTCAGATTCGTCCTTTGACGCGTTATCTACCGGTCCCGGATGACATCACCTTCGATCTTCGGCATCATCTTGCCTTTGTTTGCGGCCATCCGCTTACGGCCCAACCTATCGTCCAGATGATCAACGTGAACCCACAGTACTGCACCGGCTACCTGTGGAAACGTGTGGGCTACACCAGTCGTCAGACGATGCAGACCTTTGCCAGTGGCCAGAACACCAACCTTCACCAACACCACCAACAGCATCGACAGCCCGAGGATGCAGGCAAGATCCAGGCCACTCGCCGATCGCGGTCCATGGGCAAATCGGGCCGCCTGAAGACGACTCGAAGTCCAACACCGAGCGAGTTGACAAGCACCATGACTACCCGTTCTTCAACCGATGTGAACACGCTTCCCGTGCTGGAGGGTGGTGATCCGGCGTCGGCGACTCGCGAGCCCACGGTCAACAGATCTGGTGCCGGTGGGACCTCGATTCTTGAATCAGCCCTCCAGTTTCTCAGACGTCCGCTCTGGCGGAAACGATGGTTTGTGCTGGACAGAAAGCGCCGCCTTTTCTCCTACTACGCCAATCGGACTGCCGCCACTTGCAGTCCTGCCAACAAGCCAAAGGGTACATGGTGAAACTCACATGTTTTTTTTTAAATATTGTGGCGACTTTCATTCAGTAGGAAATTGCATAATGAACAGATTGGTTGGTCAATCTCACTGGTTAATGTTTTGCTGCAGCCGTTTTGCTCTAAAACGACCTTAAGGTTGTAGCAGTTCACGAGGCATCCTCCCTCTTTTCGGGTGAAAACGAGCTGAGCCTTCGTCCGTCATGTCAGCTGGAATTCATTTTTGTAAAAGGTTCAAGTTATATCAAATCAAGAAGGCTTTCCGGCTCCATCTTACATGTTGTATATGCCCATAAAGCAAAAACATATA